GGAAACTTGCCCAAGGTTTCACCCTGCCGGGAATCAAACCCAGGTCTTTCGCTTGCAAAGTGAATGCTCTAACCACTGAGCTGCAGGACTCCACAATGTTGGACAACGGGAGGAGAATACAAGAACAGAAATTGTGGATAGGGAAGGGCCCGTTTGTCCCATTATGTCAGTGGCACTGCAAACCTCTGCAAACTGTTTAAGTTTATATATATATATATATATATATGTGTATATCTATGTATGAAAAACAAATGAAAATGACCTCATTGGCTGTCAGCAGCTATTTGCGCTGCCAGATTTTCTAAAACGTCAAAATTGGAGGCAGACGCTGAGCTGGCTCGGTTCCTGAGTAGCCTGAGAAAAGCACTGCTCTGCTGCACGAGCATCCTATCAGTAGCAGTTTCAAGTTCCTGCTGCAGCAGATGTCCCATCTCATGTAGTGTAGACTTTCTTGCTACTTTTTTTTAAAAAAAACTGAGGTTTGGAGTTAAAAGCTGGAGACTCGATCATGTTTGTGCCCATTGGCGCTTGGCGCTGTCTTGCAAGCTAGAGGACCTGGGTTTGATTCCCGGGCAGGGTGATACCTTGGGCAAGTTTCCTTACTCCACGTACACACCTCTGTTTAGCTAGCAGTAATTAGGAATCGGCTTGTTTGTCAATTCGCGGATCGCTTTCCTAATAATAACTTGGTTACTCAGTCCATGACTGTTTACGGGATTGTACAAAACACACAGTCACTTCAGTTTACAGTGTATTTTGTGAAGCGCTTTGAGACATCTCGAAGATGTGATATGGGTTATATCAAATGCAAGGATTATCATTGTTATTATTGATGCCCCTCTGTTGACAATCTGAGTAAAGCGATCTAAAGAAGGCTTTCCGCACAAGACTGGGCTCCTGCAAAGCCTCTCTTGGTGTTATGATATGTTAATGGATTTGCTCAGGATAGAATTATAAGATGTCAGGAATTTGGAGAAGCACAACCAGTGTTTTAAAAACTCCACAGTTTTGTGCAGTGGGAGTAAAAAGGGAGCTCTCCCTGTTCCTACTGATGCCTCAGTACAGAGCTGCACGAGAGCACGTCTCAATTTCCCTAGGATTTGCTTTCCTTGTGACTGTTTGCCATTCATTTCACACAACAGAAGTGGCCCCATTACCCTTGCATATTCATTGATGAGGGGGGGGTGTTCTTGCATGTCATTACCTTTCTGACGACGGCTTAATAAGGTCTTCGCTTTGTGTTTATCCGAATGAGCTTGTCGCGCTTTGTGTGGTCGGCTGACCCTTCTTTTTGGCTGTGAGAAAGGGGCAGCTGTGTCACTATTATAGAAGAATGAGGGAGTTTTTGAGAGACTAGGGCTGTGACAGATTGCACTGCTGTTGTCGTCCATACCTACAGAACCGACAGGGATTCTGCTTTCTGTTACTGCAACTACAGTTGTATAATTTATGCTTATAAAATAGAAAAATTGTAAATTCAGTACTTTTGTCAGTTTGCTTCCGTTTTCTCCCTACTTCGTCTCCTGAAATTGATGGCTCCTGGATAGAGTTCCACAGCTGTCAGGCACCCTCTGGTATCTTGTCTAAGTGGTAATTCTTCATGCATGAGCTTAGGCTATTCAACTGTGGAAACTTGATCATGTCCTCAGCTTGATCCTGGTCACACCCACGTGCACCATCCAGCAGGGCCACTGGACAACAATTGGGGGCAGGAACCATGACTGAGTTTTTCTCCTCTGTAACTCTTGGTGGGGGTGGATGAGGGAGAGAGTATGTTGATGCTCAGATCGACTGTAGCCTGGTCACCTTCCTCCCCCTCCCCCTGGCTTGGCCCCAGGATCAGTTACTGTGAAGCGCTCTGAGACGCCATCTGGCATGGAGGGTGCTATATAAATCGCTGTTGTTGTAACATTTTTATTGTGGCCTAAGCTGTGATCAGCTAACTCAACATAGGCCAGGAATCAAATCTTCAATTTTCCTGTCTATGAGGTTCAGTGGCTTTTATACACAAGGATATAAGATTTGAACAAGGCTAAATACTGTTTTTGCATAAACAGTAATTGGAAACAACTGGAGGTCATATCAAACAGATGTTTTGATATATGGGAAGAGGGTAGGATTGGTATTCTAGATCAAATGGGACAAAGGGGATTCTTGATCTACATCAAGAACTTTCATTTATATAGCACCCTCCATGTAGAATCTCAGAGCACTGATCTGCAGTTCTCTTTTGATCTCATGATTGTGTGTGTGTGTGTGTGTGCATGCATTTTAAACTGACGTCCTTGTGAAGTGGAACCTTGCTTCTTGCATGCAGAGAGAGATTGGCAGATACCTGAACTTACCATTTTAAAATGAGTATAAATAGGAAATAAACGGCAATCACCCTTGAATCTCTGCAGTTTGACTGGAACCAACTTCTCAAAAAGCCACCAGCACAATGAATTAAATACAACTTGCGAAAGCGACAGAATTGGATAGTTTGCCTTGGTTTACTTTAAATGAACATAGTTTTGTAATTAGATTAAACGGCAACCCAGGGATGAGGAGAGCAGTTTAAGGGGATATAAAAGCAAGGGAACATGTAGCAAGTTATTTGTTTTTGGAATCAGGAAGTTGTTGGCGTGTCAGATAAAATGTTGTTCATCTTACTGTTTTATACGTGGCCATATCATTAGAATTGCTTTTTAATCCCTTCCTATTCCGGATTAGAGCAATTACAGCAAATAGCCCAGCTGCACACTTTAGTATCTTAACACAGCTCCACTGGAAAACCCTGTGATCATTAGCCTTTCAAATCAACCTCTCTCCCTGCCAGGAGACCAGGAGACAGGGCAGACGTCAGTATTAAGACCAAGTGAATAGTTTAATTGTGCCGCCATCATCTCAATGTGGTCCTTTAATAATAATAATAATAATCCTTGCGTTTGATATAGCGCTTTTCACGTCTTCTAGACGTCTCAGAACGCTTCACAGAATATGCTGTAAAGTCAATTTACCGTATATTTATGGGTGAAACGCGGCAGCCAATTGCACACAGCAGTGTCCCACAAACAGTCGTGGATTGAAAATGACCAATTTCTTATTGTTTTCTGTTTTGGAGGGATTATTATTAGGCAGGTGATGTAAGGAAACTTGCCCAAGGTTTCGCCCTGCCTGGAATTGAACCCAGGTGTCTTGCTTGTAAGACGAGTGCTCTAACCACTGAGCTACAGGACTCCTTTTGGGCCGAATGCCTTGTGTAACTAAGCAAAATGGAAAGTATACTAGATCGTAGCGAAAAGGTGCCAATTTTGTTTGATTCAGAGTGGAGCAGATCCTGTTTAAAGAGGGCTGAAAGCAGAATCCCTCATTTAGGGATTCGATAGGGTAGATACAGAGAAACCATTTCCTCTGGTAGGAGAATCCAGAACAAGGGGGAATTGTCATAAAATTAGAGCTAGGCCATTTAGGAATGAAATTAGTTGGCAATTTTTCACCCAAACGATCGTGGAAATCTCTGTCCCCAATAGCTGTCGATGCTGGATCCAGTCACATTTTCAAAACTGGGGTGGATAGATATTTGTTAGGTCAGGGTATTAAGGGATACGGGGCAAGGGCAGCTAATTGGATTTGAGGTACAGATCAGCCATGATCTAATGGAAAGGCCGAACTGGCTCGAGGGGCTGAATGGCCTACTCCTGCTTCTATGTTTATTTATTCACCATATGTCATCATGTTCTGGCAAACTGTATGTTGATCTAAGTTATCCTGTTTGCGAACAATGTTTTGACTGAAACGTCTTCTGAAATTTTTTTAAAAAATTGAAAATATTTTTTCAAAAGTTTTCTTATGCGATTTTTTTTGTTTAACACCCAAACCACTTATCATGAAACATTAAAGCTAAATTGCCTAGAAACCCAGTCATCATCCCAAATTACACTGCAGTTTGTGCAATGGAGAGTAAGCTTCAGCAAATGGTATTTATCAGGGATTGGGTGATGGAATGTGCTGAGTCCTGTGTCTACAGCAAACAATGTCCATAGCATAACATCCATAGTCATGTTGTCACTACAGTACCAGAGACAAACTCATCTAGAAGGGAAATGGGAGCAGGTGCTGGAGATGAAGGCAGATTATTTGACAAGAATCGGAGTTCTGTTCTACACTTTATCTTGCTTACCTGGTCTGGGAGTTCATGGTGCTGGGTTTACAAAAAGTTACAATTCATCTTAACACAAAGTTGAGTTCTCAATCACTTTAATTGAAAAAGTAAACATGTCCAAATTCTGGTTTTAATGAGCAGCATTTGACTATGGTTGAAGACCAATGTGGCATTTAAGTTCTGACAGTGCAGAATCATTCGATCGGGCAACAAATCATTTTTACATCACCAAATAGTTTTTGCCATTGGTGTGACGAGATCTTCCCTGGCAAAAGATGAATGCTGTCATAGAAATGTGTGGGGTACAGTCGGTCTCAAGTTACGTTGTGTAGTTTCTAGAAATACACGGGTAGCAATATCATCTCAGTCTAGAATTGCTCCATTTATGGTGAATTTTAGTGTTCAGAATTTGGTAAAGTTTTTAATTCAGTCTTAATTATGGAGTTGATTTTGTGCAATTACTTAAACAGTTTTACAGGAAACTGGCTTTGTGGTAAAAGGCTGTATTTAAGAATTTGCCAAATTCTGGATGCTCTGAAATGTTGCATACACAGCATTGAGTAAATCTAGATCCAGGTGGAATTTCACCACTGTACAGTGACTACACGTCAGCAATTATGTGTGATGCACTCCGAGATGTCTCAACTTTATAGACCGTCTAATAAATGAAAGTTTTTATCATCAGTTAAATAATGAAGTTAAATAGTATTATTGATCATCACTTTATGCTATTAAAATGTAATCCTATGTCTTGTGCTCCAATAGATCTACTTTGGATTGAAAAATTAAATGTATGAATTTTTTTTTCTTATTACCCTCTCTCTCCCTTCCCCTCCCTGGTCATTCTTTTCTGCAGCTCTATGGTTACTGTTACCAGGACAGTAATGACATCCCAGACACACTAACCACTATCACAGAGCTTGGGTCCCCATTGGAGATGATTCAGCTTCTACAGACCTCTTGGGAGGAGAGATTCCGAGTAAGTAATGAGAGTCTCTCGGGCTTTGAACGGGAAGGGGGTGGGGGAAAGTAAACATGCTCTGAAGCATGGAAAAAGAAAAGGTTTCAGTTACAAAAGAATTCAGTTTCTTAACCTTTTATCTCCTCCTCCTCTCCTCCCCCCCCCCCAACCATGGAATTTTAAATCTTGCTTTGTAAACAAGTCAGCCTTTTAATGTTGTCTAATTAGTCCAAAGCCCGTTGGTTAAACCAAATTGCTTTTGGTCTGGTTTAGCATAAGATAATCTCTCCTCATTTATGTTTGCTTTAGCATTTAGCACTGCAATTCCTGCAATATTTTATTTAGAAATGAAACGCTTTTCCCATCCTTTCGATGTGTCCTGTGATGCACAATTATAATTACTCTATTTCCGACCGGTAAAAGCTTAGAGCCTCATTTACAATAGGAAAATGTCCAGAATGGGACACACCACAGACATTTCTCCTTTCATGAGCTTTGGTTTGGAAAGATAGTTGTAATGTTATCCATCTAAGGTCCAATTTTTAACTGCAAATACATTTAAGATCTCACTAGTGATTTCCTTCCATTCACTGTACACAATCCTGGTCCTAATGGATTTGTTTTGGCCTTTTCATGAAAAAGTTGTTGAGTTTTTTTTAAAAATGCAGTTATTGTCATCATCCCCCCCTCCCCCACCGGCGGCCCCCCAATTTCTTTTCTCTGCAATGTTGGCCTTCAATATGCTTGATGAGGAAAGCAGCTCGCAGACATTTCAATCAATGCTATTAATGGGCATTCTTGAGTACTTTGCCAGGATGCCCTCTTGAATTGTGTGGGAAGCCTCTAACGATGTTCGTGGGAGGGTCTCTTCTCAGAAGGCATGACTGAGACTAGTGAAACTTGACCTCTTGAGGCATTGCAAGTGCAGACGTTAATCATCTCAGGCACAACTTAAACTTGTTTCCCAACCAGAGCTCCTGTTTCTCAGTTTTCTTTCTATTCATTTTCTCATTGCCTGCAAAATAGTCACTACACTTTAGAGTAAATCCTATGAAGTGCCTCTTGCTGTCACAGGCATAATATCAATTGTCAAGGTTATTGTTATTATCCCTTTAACATTTCCATAAACATTTTTGAAAATCCCTTCTGTTGGAGTTACATTTGTGAAATGCACTTAATTGTACACCTTTTTTTTTCTATAGAAATAGCAGTAACCTGACTCTACAAAGGTCTGATTTAAAAAAAAGTCATTAGTTATTATTTTGTAATGAATAAATATAAAACAATAGATAACAGTTGCATCTCAGTGAGTTTAAAGGAATTATGTAATGGAATGGCTCAGTTATCTGAGACTGGATTCCTCCCTTATGTTCACTCAGTGACTGCTTTTGTGTATTATAGCAATCCTTACATTTGGTAGAGCACCTTTCGTGTGAGAAGGATGTCTCAAAGAGCTTCACAAGATGTGCTGTAAAGTGAAGTGACTGTATTTTGTAGAGCAGAATTTTACAGCACAGAAAGAGGCCATGCAACTCACCATGCCTGTGCTGGCTCTCTGAAGAAGCAATCCATTTTGCTCCACTTTGTGGCATTTCCCAATTCCTTTTATATTTTGTTTCAACTATTTTTCCAATTCCCTTTTAAAAGCTTTATAAATGCTGTTTGAACCATGGGTTTTGGTGGAACATTCCATCTCCTCCTTCATCTCCTGTCCTTGCTGGCTGAGCAGCTTAATATGGGCTTTGTGCAGAGTGAGCAGGCCCGAAGGGAATTAGACGAAGCTAACTGCATCCGTCTGCAAATATGTAAAAATGCTCATATATAATTTGTAGAAGAAAAATGCTGTTAAACTCTCCCTTTATTTTTTGGCATTGGTCTTAAATTGATGCCTTTCAGTTACGGGTTTACATCCTGATGGAAACAGTTTCTCGCTATTTACCTTATCAATAATCCCATTATATTGGTGCACAGATGCTTTTTAATAACGTTTTTGCATTTTTGAAAAAAACGTAAAGTGGATGTTGTCGTTTGCCTACAAAATACAGTCATGACAATTTACAGTATATCATGTATAGATATTATTACAGTATAGTGCTTTGAGATGTTTCCCTGACGTGAAAGGCACTATACTAAATGTAAGGATTATTTATTATTATCATCAGTTGGCCCTGGTGCTGTTTGTTACAGATCTGTTTGAGTTTAATCCACCTCCTGCACTACCTGGCTCATTCTCCTCTGGGCTCTGTGACATTGCTGGACTTTCGCCCTCGCCAATTTGTAATCGTTGATGGAGAGCTGAAAGTGACGGACCTGGACGACGCCAGCGCCGACGAGACGCCCTGCTCAAGCACCACCGATTGCTTCATGGAGTTTCCCGCCCGAAATTTCACGTTGACCTGCTCGATGAAAGGGAGGTGCCACAGCATGAACGAAAAGCGGAACCTCTACAACGCATACAGGTAATTGATGACTGCAGGACATGTGGACAGAGCTCCACAGTGCACTCACTTCCATCCATTGTCAGTGACTGACTATTTGTCAGTTCCATCACCAGGCAAAATTGCTTTGAAACTGCTTTGCAAAGGACATGCGTAATTGACTTTATTCTGCGGTCCTCAGAAGGGATTAGATTTCCAAACATGATACAATCTGATATACACGCAGTGTTTTATTATGACAAGGGAAGAAAAGCTATGAATAGTGAGGGAGTCTGCACTGATCCCAGTGTTTTTACACACTTTAGGCACAGTCTAGACAACAACAAAAAAAGTATCTGAACATGAATACATATTAATCTTTACAGACAACCCAGTTAGCTTCATTCCCTTCAGGATTGTGCTCTCTGTGCAGGGCATGCATTTAGCTCGTCAGACAGCATGGGCAAAAGGTAGAGTTTTCTGCAAATTTCTGATTATAATAATAATTCTTGCATTTGATATAGCGTCTTATCAGGTCTTTGAGACGTTTCAAAGCGCTTCACAGAATATACTGTAAAGTGAACTGACTGTGTCATATCGTTGTTTGAGATTTTATGGACTTCTGCAACTACTGTATTATAGTGGCGCTCCACTGTAGGTCCATGGTTAGTGGGCATCCTCTTCCTTTATATCTTGCCCAAGTGACCATTCTTCCCGTGAGTTTCTGCAACTTCCAACAATGGAGGGAGTGGCCATTAAGGGAGAGGTCAAAACTGTTCTTCCCCAAAATCCACACATTTGCTATGGGAAGACAAATCATTGGATTGCTCTCGGGAGCAGAAAATCTGGCTGTTTTTCCCTTCTTTGTCCAAAAGTCCTGAGACAAATTGTGATCCCTCAACTGAGAGCAGCTAACTCAAACCTGCAGCCCTCAGGATTCTGATTCCTTTTAAAACATATGGTGGTGAAACTATCGCTTGCCAATATATTTTGAATTATAATAATAAAAATAATCTGAATTCCATGGAGACATAAGTGAAAGCAGAGGCACTGTTCCAAAGTTTTATCACTGGAAACCGTCCGTATTTCACATTGCAATCTCCTATTTGGAATTTTACTCTTCTTTCTCTAAAACGTAGCAAAAAGAGAATACATGATTCAGGCTTGTAACATGTAAATGGTATCTCCTGAACTAAGTCATTTCCTATGGGTTCTCTTTACCTAGCAGTAAGTAGTAACCCATTTTTTAATCGATTGGTGGATTGCTTTTCCGGGGATAAAAATCCCTTATACACACACACACACACACACACATACATAAGTAAATAATTTGGTCACTTCAATCCACGACTGTTTTGCCCACACTTTACAGTATATTCTGTGAAGCGCTTTGAGATGTCTAGAAGACGTGAAAAGTGCTATATCAAATGCAAGTATTATTATTATATTTACGTATCCTTGCTTTATATTGTAGTCGGTTCTTTTTGTTGCATGAAAAAAGCTTTCAACTGTTTTGTTTTGAAAAAGTCTGTGGAGTCTATTGTCGTCTTATTGAAGTTTTCTTATGAAATATTTTGTGTCTCACATCTCCGCCTCTCGGAGTTGATTCCTTCCCGGGCTACAGTTCCACAGGATCTGGTCGACTACCTCGTCCCAAGTAACCATTGTTTGTGTGTGATAGCGTTCTATTTCACAGCAGAGGGCATCACAGCTGAACCCAACATCCACCTCATCAGGACTCATTGGGTATCAATCTTGAATGAAACCTCTGGCTAGTTTTCCCCTCTCTAATCCAGGGGCATTGAGGGAATTTGTAGTGCCTCTACTGCTAATCCCTGCTAATATTAACTGACTCAGCACAGACTAGGATTCAAACCAGTAAACGTCTGGTCTATGTGACTTAATGCTCCAGATAGTGACTTTATCCCTAGGCCACTGAGCAGCTTTGATTTCATTTTTGTATCTTGTTCTTACAACATTGAAGTCATTCAAGTTGCAGCACCCCATGGATTAACATATCCTGGCCATGTTGCACTCAATGGCAACTCAACAATGATTAATATACCATTAACAGTATATTTGCTGATAACAACAGTTTAACCATGCATCTAAAAAACTTCAGCAGGCATCTCTGGTTTTGAAGTGCAGTCAACAGGATATTTTTGGCAGAATAGCTTTTGAACTGATCATTAAAAAAAACTATAATCTTCTGTCTGTGATCAGCTTGAGCTTCTTTGATGAGGTGCTTTACCTGGGACTTGCCCCTGGCTTTAGATCAAATACTCTGCTCACAGGGCTCAGGAATCATTGGTGCTAATCACTGACTTGTGGATTGGCACTAGCAGATGACTAGAAGCAGGTAGCCTGCATGTCTTTCACACCAGGGATAGCCCGAGGCTTGGAAAGATCAAAAGAAGGAAATGGCAGAACATTAATAAATACAATATCTGCTTTAGACAAAAACAAGTGTCTAATCCTGCTCACTCCTCTCTTCCCCTACAGATTCTTCTTCACTTACCTCTTGCCGCACAGTGCTCCCCCAAGCCTCAGGTCTTTGCTGGACACAGTGGTGAATGCTACAGGTATGAAATTTAAATTTAAATTAGTGTGGACTTTCCTCTGGCAAAATATTTCAATTAGCTGTGGAACGAATTTTAAAAAACAATGCAAAGTTACAAATGTATTTGTTAGCCGGGGCATCTGGAGAAACTCCTTTCTCCTTCCGAATAGTGTCATGGAATCTTCAGTGTTTACATTATTTAGACAACAGGATCTTGGTTTAACATCATCTGAAGGACAACAACTCAACACTAAGTACTGCTTTGGAGTGTCAGCCTTTACTACTGTATGAGCTCATGTGAAACTTGAACTCGCCATATTCTGATAGAGGCCAGAGTGCCACCAATTGAGCCAAAATGACATAGTTAACTGCATAACTATGTTAAGTATATTGAATAAATGAGGTTGTCACATAAGCAACAGTACTTCACTGAATATGTTTTGCACAAACCATTTACTTGAATGAATACAATATTGGCTTCACATCTATTCCCGCTGCTTCTTTGATTACTTTGTCCCAGTTTTATATTATGACCTAAAGAATATTATCAAAGCAGCAGAATGCAACACATTGCAAGATCTAAGTGCACAAGCAGAATTGGTTGGAAATTGAAGGGCTTTAACAATCCAATAAGTCTGTTCGAAGAATTACTCTCACACTATGCCATTGTTTCCCTTATCTTACCTCCTATTTAAAAGAAGTTGCATAAGCAGGAATCAATCGAGTGTGTCACCACCAGAGACAGGGCAGTTATGCACACTCCCCAGATTAAGGTCAGTTACTCTCCTAAGACGTAGGGTAAAAGTAATAATTAAAAATATTACTTTTCACACAAGTCAGAAGGAAATAATTTACATGGATAATTCATGACCAGCAAAGCATTCCCGGGGGCAGGGCAGCTACACGCTCCTCAAAGTCAGTCCAGCTACATTCCCAAGGGCAGGGAATATCTTAATATAAACTTTTCATAATAACAGGGAGACATGTATGAGAGTTGTATATAAATAGACAAAATGACATAATAATAATCCTTGCATTTGATTTAGCGTCTTATTACGTCTTCGGGACATCTTAAAGCACTTTATCTACCCGGGAGATTCAAACTGCTGGAATGTTGCACAATAGCAGACGTTTGCATGGATCAGATTTGTTCACAAGTGAATTGCACAAACTTCTGGGGGGTTTGTTTTAAGACCTGCAGTAAATCGCCTTCAAACTGAAAACTAAATTTATGATTTTTCCACAATTATGCATCATCTTAAATCTTCCAGGCTAAGACTAGGTGGAATTGCAAATTATTCAGGAAAACATGTGTGAGACTGGATGGCTTTATGTAATCCTACAAGCTTAACTGTTTTAATTACAGTAAAGTAGCCAATCTCATAACTATTTGTTCTTATTCAACGTTGCATTAAGTGCCAAAGTGATCAAATGACAAAAATATGCAACTTGCTACCTGTACAATCTTGACCTATTTGGAAATGGGCCATTCAGCAAATGAAATCCAGCGTAGTAGATATAGTCTTTGTGCTTATCTGCATCTTGGTATGACAAACAACATTTTGTCATCGCGAAACACTTTGTGGAAACTTGTTTGGTATAATCTCAGTGGAACCATCAGCTTGTTGCTAGCACATCGACCTCCCACTGTGGTTTTGTGGCAATGATGGAAAATGCTGACACCTCCAGTTAATGTCAGTCCTAACTTGGGTCAATTGAATGACCATTGATTTCAGACACACTTCTAGATTGGGTGCCATTGGAAGGATGAGCAGAAAGCTATAATTGACAGCTTACATCAATTCAAGTGCAAACCCCAGTTGGCTGGGCAGGGTGACATTAGCTTCATCCAGGCTGACCTGTTCCCCTGCCTGAAAGTGGCTTTATGTTATCACAGGGTTCCTACAGAGAAGTAAAGGGAGAAATCAGTGTGCATGTGTGTGGGAGAGGAGGAATAATATAAACCAGCTGTTACAGATTTGCAATCCACTATCATCTACTTTCTTTGTTACAAAGAAAAAAAGGATCAGTAGTAACTACTGGGACAACATTGGTCAACATTTTAGTGCGTGTGTATGTGTCTGCGCATATGCCCAGAGTTTCTGAGGTCCAAAATTCCACCCAGTCATAGCCTCTAAGATCATTTTGTCTTTAAAACTTAAGATGGGCGCAGAATTGTGGAACATTTTAAATTCAGCCTTAATCTGAAGGTCATTTTTTCAAATTCTTAAAATGAACTGGCTTCCAAATTAATAACTGAATTTAAGAATTTTTTCCCAATTCTGGGAAATCTTACATTTTAAGAGAAAATGGTCTTGAGGTTAAGTGGAATTCGGGCCTCTAGTTTACCACCTTAGTCACTCCATTGACTTAGTCCTTTATAAAATGAATATCATATAAAAATAGCGTTGGCTGTGCGTGTGAAATAGAAAAGGTACAATGAGCACTGAGCAGGCATGCCTGGCATTGACAGGCAGATTGGCTGTAATGCAAGACGGACTCATCAATGAAACCTGGAGGTGTAGATGTGGGTTTAACTCCTTAAGCCAATAACCATCCCTTCATTTGGTGTCGCATGTTGGAAAGACGTCCCAAAGCGCTTCCCAAAGTGATATACCGTAAAGTGAAGTGATGGTGTGTTTTGTGGACAAATTTCCACAAAACCTGCACTTATATAATGCCATTCATACATGATGAGCATCTCAAACCGCTACAGGAGGATAAACTATTGAAGACACACAACTGGGCATTTCAGAAACTGATGGGAGCTCATTTTGTAGCACCCTGCAGTACAGCACATTGGAGCATTTGGCAAGACACTTACCTAATTGTGTGGTTCAACTTAAAGGTCTTATAAGAATGTAAATGATCATTTGCTTGCTCTGCAGGGGAGTTACACTGGGGGATAGACGAGACACTGGGTCAGCTGGAAAAAGTTCTGTACCTATTCAAGAGTGGTTTGTACCTGCAGAACACCACAAGAGGCCGGGTCTCGGGTAAGAGAATCTCTATGTATTATAAGATTCAGCTTCAAACACTTTGATTGCAAGACAAATCATTCCTTCTTTGAGATATCGAATAAAATACAAGTGCCTCCATTATAACGCGATGGTTTGGGTCCATAAACTCAGAACCCACTTTACCTTTTTTTTAAAAAAAAGCATGCATAAGTTTTGGTGTTTACAATGGATGCTAGGTACCACTAGATGTCAAGAGGATTTCTGCACCTTAAGGCTGAAGGCTAAAGCCAGGTGGAATTATAATAATAATAATAATAATAATCCTTGCATTTGATATAGCGCTTTTCACGTCGGGAGGACGTCCCAAAGCGCTTCACAGAACACACTGTAAAGTGAATTGACTGTATATTTGTGGGCGAACGCGGCAGCCAATTGCGCACAGCAATGTCCCACAAACAGTTGTAGATTGAAAATGACCAATTTATTATTGTTTTTTGTTTTGGAGGGATTATTATTAGGCTCTGTGTGGAGTAAGGAAACTTGCCCAAGGTTTCGCCCTCTGCCTGGAATTGAACTCAGGTCTCTCGCTTGCAAAGCGAGTGCTCTAACCACTGAGCTGCAGGACTCCACAAATTAGCATTGCACCAGAGCTGTCCTCTATGCGTGAAAGGCATAGGATTCCGCAGCCCCACAGGCCCCATCTCCTCCTTCTTGTTGAGTCACTGCTGTAGAACGCAAAAGGGGAAAAAATCCCAGGAAAGAGTTTAAAAAAAGATGGAATGCGTTTTCCATCCCATTGGGATCTATCAAGAACCAGCAAACGAGAAAGTTGAGATAGTCATTCAATATTATAATAATAATAAAAATAATAATCCTTGCATTTGGTACAGCATCTTCCACATCAGGAGGATGTTTCAAAGCACTTCACAGGACATAAAGTAAAGGAGTGTCTGTGATTTGTAGGCGAACACAGCAGCGAATTTGCACGCAGCATTGTCCCACAATCCTCCATCTGAGCGACCAATTTTATTTAGAGGATTGTTGGCCAGTACAGTGCTGGAGAGAGTTTGAGTTTGTCATCCTAGGCCTACTGCAGTCATGCTGCCCAGCCTTTCTGGATGGTTGGCAATGCTTTGATTTGAAATGGGCGTCCGCTCCTTGCTGCTTGACTGCTGCTGTATAGTAGGAGGAGACGGGTGATGATAGATTGCGGAGCTCAAGGCAGGAGGTTAAAAAGCACAGAGAAGTCATTCACTGTCAAAAGTATCTGGGTTAACCCAAGACGCTCTCCAGTTACCTTGCTTCAGAACTAGTAATGAACAGCCGCACAGGTGTTCCAGCAATTTTCTAATTCTCTGGTATCCATCATGCACTCCATTGAATGATACCTGTCAACGCACAAAATTTATTTTCAGCACTGCAATTAATGTGACAAACGTTCCTTTGTGGCGAAAGTGCCAGGAACCATTGCGGTTTCACTGGAGGTGGTTGATCGGGGTTTCAATGGCAAATCAGAGTACACCGCTTGAGCTAGTTTGGATTAACTGCTGTGTGTTGTTCTGATGAAAATTGATGAGAGATGTGCCTATAGACTAAAAAGCAGAGACTCTGAGAATGACATGAAAGTCAAGGTCACAATCTTTCCTTCTTTCTCCTGTTTCGTTGGTTATCCTGTCTGTCCCCATATTTGCCTGCGGCTCTCCTCTCCCCCCCATCCCCCACAACCATCCGTTGAGTTCCTGATCTCATTCCTTGATTGTAAGAACATAAGAGTTTGCCAGGCGAAAGAAGAACAAGGTCCATCCAGTTTGCCTTCCACTATCCTGGCAGTTGCTTGATATGTTGTGCTCAAACTATATATTGTATCCCGAGATATTATTTCCTAACAGAAAGCTATCTATTTTGTTCTTGAAAGAAATTGTGCAATTAATTTAGGCACTGTCTGCCTTGTGATTTAGATGGACGTAAACGGACTGCTCTGCCATGAGTATTACAAAGATACCTAGAGTCTTGCTCTTGATTATCCCTCCTGATAATACTAATAAAAAAATTACTTGCACATGATATAGCGCTTTATCGCATTGTCGAAACGTCTCAGAATGCTTCACAGGATTTATACTGTGAAGTATAGTGACTGTGCTTTGTAATTTTAGAAGCCAATTTCCACAGAGCAACGTCCCACAAACAGCCATGACCATAATAAATGACCAATTTTATCTGGGGAGTTGTTGTGCCAGCATACTGGGAGAAACTTCCTTCTCTTTTTGAATAGAATAACGTTTACTGAACAGGCAGATGAGACCTTAGTTTTACATCTTGTCTGAAGGATGGCACCTCCAACAATGCAGTGCTCCCTACCCCCAGAATTGCATTGGAACGTCAGCCAAAATTGCAAGTTCGTAGTCCCGACATGGGCTTGAACCCACAATCTTCTGACTCAGAGGTGAGTGCTACCAACTGAGCCAGATTTAATTGGCTGCTGATCTAATTGTTAATCAGCTGTTAATGGCACTAACGGCCTCTATTTTTCCCTGTATAACAACATTCACTTTCATTTCTAATGCATTATATTTTGCCAAGCAATTTGAGATTTCTATTTTAATGTGAAAGGATATAAATGCAAGTTTGTATTATTGAGTTCCATACGCTCAATGCAGCACATTAGTTACTTAAAGTGAACTATGGAAAACCAGGTTACAAATCAAGTCCAAATTTTGCCAAAATTCTGCACAATCTTAACTTTTAAGATAGTAGTTTTAAGGCTGCTTCTATGAGGGATTTCAGGCCTCAGGTTGGTCACATTACAGGAGTTGCCTGAACCTGGCATGTATTCCAGAGCCTTGTTGGAAGCCACGTGTGTCAGCTTGGTCAATTGGCAGCACTCTCAACTCTCAGTCAGAAGGTCGTGGGTGCAGGCCTAACTTTGGGATCTGGAGTTTATATAATCTAGACTGACACTCCAATGCAGTGCTGAGGATGTCATGCATTGTTGGAGGTGCCGTCCTTCAGATGAGTTACTTACACAGGTCCTGTCTGTGCCTGTTCAGGTGGAAGTTGCACTATTTGAAAAGAGAAAACGTATGAGAAAATTATCCCCAAATTGCTCATTCGCTTCATGACTATTTGTGGGACACTGCTGTGGGCAAATTGGCTGCCGCATTCACCCACAAAGTACAGTCATCCCACTTTACCTCGTTGAGATATGCTTTGAGATGTCCCCCTGACCTGAAAGGTGGTACATCAAATGTAAAGATTATTATTATCTATTTTGACAAGGAAGAGCCAGTTCCTATGAAGAGCAGCCGAGAGGAAAAACAAAATTTGAGCAAACAGATGGGAATGAATGCTTCTCAATGCTTTTGGGTCAATAAAACTGTGTTTCATTTAGTTCTTTATCAGCAGAGAGCAGGAGATCACATTCTGTGAGGCTTCATTTGCTTCTCTTCAAACAAAGAGTACTTTTTTCCCTTGCCCTCTCTGCTTCACCACTCGGATCTTAAATGGTGAGCTTAAATTCCATTGGGACAACTAAATTCTGAAGCTTTGGTGTCACTTGCAGATGGTATCATTCGAAATGACTGGGAGGTTTTTTTCCCCCCAAGATAGGATCCGTGCTGAGCAGACCCTGCCCTGCACAACTCCAGCCAGCAGAAAAACTGGTCATTAGGGTGCTGATTCTATTTGGCTTTGGGGTGCTTTAGAATGCAAACACACCAATTACACTGTATTAAAATTCTCTTGAAGTGTTTGACCCCGACGGCTTTGGAGTGGGGTGGGTGGGGGGACGGATATGGATTGTGGAATCAAGGCTTACATAAATCGAGTTAATGCTACTGAATTGTGCCTGTTGAAATGGGTTTCTATTTTCATTAGAAAGGCAGTGAGGTGGTGGTTTTGCCAAAGCTGCCTATGGGCTAACCTCAACAGATCATTTTGCACTCACTGTGTTTATTTGTGTTTGCTGCTTCTTGAATGCTGCAATGACCAACCTCTTTGATTCAACTGAAAAAGGCATATTAATTGAGAATAAAAATTACTGTTCAGTTTCCTGGCAATGGTTATTACGTGTTTTCCATTTTTTGGTCAGCCATGTGTCTGACACATGCATGAAACCCATCACCATACACAAGAATATCCAAGCCATACTGGGAGGTCCACATATGTATGCCACCTACATGTGGAAATTTCCCTGTGCCTGCAATGGAACGGAACTTGGCGGGACGGGGACTGAAACAGAATTTTTTAATAAAGAATCCATGGGCCTGCAAGTAGACTCCCATTAACCCACTCTCCTAGCGCCTGCTTGCTTTCCTGCAATGGGATATTGAATTTGACAGTTTGGATCCTGCAAGCAGGGGACAGCTTATTCAAACAAATTACAATGCCAGTATCAGCATTTTTCAGCACTTAAAAAAGCCGGTACTAAAAATAGCCGGTAAATGCTGGTACCAGCATTGTAATTACACTTAGCTGGAAATACCGGCTCACCGGATTCGATCTGCCCCCATTGTTCTGGCTAGCCGGGGCTTTAGTGCAAGTGAAGGAGAGCCAGAACCTAGGTTTTCCTCTCCCACCTCTTCCATACAGCATAACAATGTAAAAATACTAACCCTAAGTCTTCTAACTGTGCAGCATGTTTTAATGAGGCCTTTGGTATGCTTTTTTGTATAATATCTGTCATTGTAAAAACTTCAAAGTGCGAGGAGAAAGCTGAATGCCAGGAAGTGCCCAGATCACTGAGACAGTTCATCATTGGAAATGACAAAATCGCCAGGACTGGCTGCCAGAAAACATTCCCACTGGAACTGCTTAAACCATGTCTGGGAATCGCAAGGTCTGGAGGGAGGGACACATCAAAAGAGCTGATTAATTGGCAATTTTTAAAAAAAAACAGTCTTACTGAAAACTACTGATGTTCAGCTGCAGCAATGTCAGGGACACCTCTGACTGTGACGGCGTTGTATTTTTATATCAATAAAAAAAGGTTGTTATTTAAATGATTTTCTCAGAAATTCTGATTAAACATTCGGAAGTGA